TTAAAAAAAAAAACAAACATATCACTTAACTGCTTAAAACACTTCAGTGTTCTTATTGCTCTTGGAATAAAAAGCAAACCTCTTATCATGGCCTGTTCATCCTGGGTGGTCTGGTCCGTGTCTGCCTCCAGGCTTATTTCTCTTGGTAGTGTGATGTTCTCCATCGTGCATATGCTTCTGTACGGGGAACAATCTTCTTACTCTTCCCATACTCCTCTTTTATATCTCTTCTTCTTTTGGATCAACTCAGTCATCACTTCCTCTGACTTTCCTGGCTAGGTTAAAAACCAAACCCATTGCTGTCAAGTTGAATTCTGACTCTTAGCAACCTTATAGGACAGAGTAGAACTGCTCCCATAGAGTTTCCAAGGCTATAAACCTTTATGGAAGCAGACTGCCACATCTTTCTCCCATGAAGTGGCTTATGGATTAGAAGCCCTGACCTTTCGGTTAGCAGCTAAGCACTTAACCACTACATACTCTTATTATAAGCTTTCATGGCACCATCTCTCTTTTTTCTTGGTAGCACTTACTACCATTGTCATTTTCCATTTATTTGTGATTCTTTCATTGTTATCAGTCTCTTCCACTTGATCATAAGCTCCATGCTTAGTTTTGCATGCTGTTGTCTTCCACTGCCCAGCAGTGTCTGATGTAAGGAAGATGTTCAGTCTATATTAATTGAATGAATAAATGATGAAGTTTTTGTTTATGTTAGCTAAAAGGAAAACACTTCTGTAGAACTTTAGTGATAAAGATTACAAGATACTAAATATTGCTCTTCATTTATGACACTTTCAATTTTTATACCTTTTACACATATTAAGTAGTATTAAACCAAAGTTACTGCCGTCGAGTCGGTTCAGAATCAAAGTGACCCCTCCTTGGGTTTCCAAGGTGGTATCTCTACAGAAGTAGATTGCCCAATCTTTCTTCTGAGGAGTGGCTGGTAGGTTTGAACACCAGCCTTCTGGTTAGCAGTCAGATGCCTTAGGCACTACACCACCAGAGATAATTAAATATAGTAAAGTGATAGTATGTAGAATCATGGAGTAAGAAAAAACCTCTGATGGCAGATAGTCCAGGCGTCTCTCTAATGTGTTATATCAGAGACTGTGCGGTTTCTTGAACATCTCTAGTAACAGGTAACAGAGACAGCTCTTTTTTTTAATTTCTTCATGTTGAGCAAAAACTGGCCTGCTATGTTTTCTATCCTTTTGTTCTAGTCTCTAAAGTAATACTTAGTAGGTCTATCTCCTATCCATATGGAATCCTTTCATATGAATAGACAACTATCATGTAACTTACTTCTCACACTTTCCTTCCTATAGTGTGCTGTTGCCATATTGGTTCTGGAAACAACTGTGCCCTCCTCTCTTTCCTACAAATCTTCACAGGTATTGTTTTTCTCACTGGAACACTC